GCGTCCTTTACCCTCTTGAACTTGTCCAGCACATTTCATTCGATATGCATCCGCACACCGCACACAGTGAAGTGGGCAGAGTAATTAACTCAATCCATGCACAGATACACAGAATATCATACTCCATCTGAGCCAAAACGGCGGCTGCATGCATGGACCACATAATTAATCGAATACCATCAGTTAAGATGTGTCAGGTTAGTGGGGAATCACCTCGCTGGCATATTCCTTCGTGAGGTTTCAATTATTGGAGGGTTCAAAAACTGCAATGTCGCCCGAACCCTGAACCTCAACTCCCAACCCCCTAGACCCAGACCCACGGCCCGAATGGGGACCAGGTCCATAGCCCTACACCATGAAGCCCTGTGTTTGAGCGCCAGGTCGCCGAGGAGCTCGATGAAGTGAAGTACAGCCAGCAGGTGGAATGGGGTTTAGAGTTTAGGGTTTAGAGTTTAGGGTTTAGGGTTTAGGGGGCTTTGGGACTCTCGCAACGAAGATCCTAGAGCTTCGGTCTCGTACCCTAGCCCTCCAGGTACCTACCTTTTTAGGGCCCTATAGAGGCTCTATTACCTGGAGGGTTAGGGGTAGACACAAGTGCGGCCGATGACATGGTGCAGATAAAGGAAACAGATGCCAGGCTGAGCTTTCAGGCAGCATTGAAGGTCCATGGTCGTTGAATCCCATAGGCCAACCGAGACAAGTACCCTGAAGCTCAAACCTAACGAACTCTCATGTTCAAACGTAACGAACTCTTATGTCTTCCCGTCAAGATCGATCTCCCGTCTGCAGCCCGGACTTACCACAAAAGCGACATGTCGAGACCCAAAGGGCGAAGAACGGACGGGATTAGGGTTTATGGAACCCTAAACCCTAAACCCTAAACGCACGGTTTAGGGTTTAGGGTTTAGAACCCTAAACCCTAAACCCTAAACCGAGAGTTTAGGGTTTAGGGTTTACCACAACCACTGGTAAGGGGCCCTTCTCAGGATCTCGAGATCCGGGCTCCTGGTCAAATCTGGCTTGCGCAGAGAAAGACAATACCC